CTAGCAGAGCTCTATAAACACCATAAAAGGATCACTACAAACTGCAGTTAATTACTTCATATACCTTGGCAGTGAAATCACCGCCACAGAAAAAGACATCGTCTGCCTGCATGGTGTTGTTCTGTTCGGACATTGCTCCCTCTACAACCCTGTGCGGTAACTCCATTCATAACCGTGTATGTCACATGGTTGCACGATGGAAAGTTTACCAACCAATAGAAAGCTTTGTTTCAATGACTGCCAAAACGCGCTTGGAGCTTTGCATTTTTGATGCCTTCATCTTTGGCATCATTTCTGCCAATATATGTTGCAGTGACATGAGCTTTGAGGTATAACATCTTATATAGTATTCAACAGTGGCGACAACACTATTACCACGCTCGATGATCGCAAGGCCAGTAAAGCATAATAACATAATGATTTACCCATTCCCAGTGCGACTAAAAACAAACACATCAGACTAACTAACTAAGTAGCTTAAATAGCTTTGGTCTGAATATCAGTGAGTTGTATGATGTATGGATATCGTCACTGTATTGTCTCAACATCCAAGCCAACACAGCTTCCACTGTGCGCAGCGAAATTTATTCTTGGGCAGGCATTTTCCGCCTGGCAACCATCACGGTGAAAACAAAAGCCAAAAACTCCCAGAAAATGGTACTTTGGGATGGTTGTTGACACTCCCTGAACAGTGTAACAAGATTACTCCTACTTATGCAACATATTTAAATTTGGTTGTTAAGGATTACTTCATAGTTAAGTTTGAGCTGTTTTCTTGAATTTAGCTGTTTTCATCGGCTTGTCGGCTTGTGTTCTACAGCAGCTTGGGCAGAGCCCATAGATTACATGGTAGAGTGGTGCGCGTCTTGTGACTTTTTCTTGAGAATTTTGATAGCTTGGCAAAACGCGTTGATGAAAGAAGCAATATGATTGGCTTTTGATTCTAAACTGTGAGGGCATTGTCACATACACATGGTCCTAATGAAATACTTCAAGGTGATAGTGGATTGCTTCACTGGAACATTTACCTTGAAAAATATAAGCAGAGAAAAAGATGTCAAATAGAAATTTAAGGCATCAGCTGCTCTATACAAGTTGGATGTCTATTAATAATTTGGATAAATATCATGTCATCAGAGTTCCTGGGTGCTAATATAAATTCTATTTAATGTTTTCCAGTTGATTTTGTGAAGTATTTATGTGCGGTATCTATGGATGAGCTGCAGTCAGCAGGCGGAGCTAGAATGTTCAGTTTGCAGAAAATAGTAGAAATATCGTACTATAATATGGGGCGTGTTCGTGTGCAGTGGTCCAGGATATGGGCCATACTTGGTGAACATTTTAATAAGGTATGATGCATTTAAAAGAATGTGCATTTATTCATTTGAAAAGGAATACTGTGGAATACTTTATTTTCGCTGGAATTAATTTTCGCTGTAAAGGTTTTTTGGGCGTTTTGTATGGAATTTATTTTCACTGATTTTTGATGAGTTTAATGTGAAATATAGGACATAAAGTATATTCACTAAATTTTATTTTCACGGAATCATCCCTTCAGCGAAAACAGCGAAAATAAATTCCAAGTGAAGATAAAGTATTCTACAGTACTTACTTTATTTGATCACTTCTTTTAATTTCCAACAAACATTAGTGATAAAGCTGTACTTTTTTGCAAGTTTGTTTGTTTCTTATGTAAATTACAGTGGTATTTCTAATTGTCGAAATAAACAAAATTTTAATAATTCAGTATACATGTACAACAGAAGTGATTTTGGGTTGATTTGCTCTTTAATTGAAGATGCACTTCTAATAGAGCAAGTACAGTAATACTGAGTTGAATTGAGCTTTGTAGCACCAAATGAAAAAACATACATGTACATAGTATGTGAAATAACATGTGCATCCTAATATTTTATCTCCTGCATGTATATTAATTTGATATTACGAAGATTATTTTGGGCTTCTTGTATTTCACAGTCCAAAACAGAAAAACGAGCCAAAAAAATGCAACTCGTGTGGTTTTAATGTTTTTCATGCATGTCTTCTGATCCATATTTGTGTCCAAGTTTGATGTCAAGTTTCTCAAGAACTACTTAGTTTGTCAGTGACCCCATATTCCATATACCGGTAATATGTCTCCAACCTATCTAAAGAGGGCAGTATTCACACATGCATGTTAGACTCTGATAGATAAAACATGATTTTTTTTATCAAAATCTTGTCAAATTAGTATTTGGTTACAATCCTGTTGTAAACCAATTAATTGTCGTAAATAATATTTGGATTTGGTTACTAGGTTGGTTGCCATCCAAATGAAGATGTAGCATTTTTTGCTGTGGATTCTCTCAGACAGCTGTCTATGAAATTCTTGGAAAGAGGAGAATTGACAGGTTTCAGATTCCAGAAAGATTTCCTTCGACCATTTGAATATATCATGAAGAAAAACAGGTATTTAGATAGTTTTTTCACTTTCAACAGAGTACTAGGTGCATCATTTCAACAGCATTCTGGCTGTTGGCTTTGCAGCAGCTGATCTCATAATATCTTCTTTTAGCCAGCAGCTAACGTATCAATATGCATTCTATGAGTTAAATGAACAAATCAGAAAAAAAAATTAAGAATGTCAGATATTTTTTTTTATAACTTGACAAGTTAAAACAGTGTGCAAAATATGTATAAATCAGACAACAGCATGCAGACCAGCACTCATTAGGAATGCAGCTAACTGTATTCTAAATGAAAAAAAAAATGTTTCATTTTATAAAACTTAGTAGAAATTTTATATTAATTCTGATATTGTGTAGTTGATATAGTAGACAAAAATTAACGAGTAAATCCATATTATGTACCGGATGATTTCTCAAGGTATTTTTGTTTTATGTAAAGAAATAAAAATTCAGTGTTTGCATAAAAGAAACTAAATGTCTTCAATGATACTGTTTCAGATCGCCAACTATTCGAGATATGGTGGTACGATGTGTAGCTCAGATGGTCAACTCACAGGCAGCTAATATCAAGTCTGGATGGAAGAATATATTTTCCGTGTTTCACCTTGCAGCCTCCGACCAGGATGAGGGCATTGTAGAGTTGGCATTCCAGACGACTGGAAAGATCATATGTAAGTTGAAGAAGTGTATTTGTGTCTTTTGTGTCAGTTAAAATTATTTTAATTTTGTCAAAATACCTGTTATTTTGTTTGGGAAGACTAAAAGAAAACACTTTTTCTGAAATTGACCGGTAACAGCGTTTGGGAAAAAAAAGCAAATTGGACAATAGAGGGCGCTATGCTAGAAGTTGTTTAGGGTATGCATTGAAAATCAACAAGTTACCTACTGAGTACTTGCTAATTAATCTTGTTTTTTTGGATCTGTTTTATTTATTAATTTATTGGTTGTTCTTACAATCTCCAGCATCTATATTTGAGAGGTACTTTACAGCCACTATAGACTCATTCCAAGACGCTGTCAAGTGCTTGTCAGAGTTCGCCTGTAACGCAGCATTCCCTGATACCAGTATGGAAGCCATCAGACTCATACGCAACTGTGCCAGATATGTCATGGAAAAACCACAGGTAGATAATAATAAGTATTTGCTCTATTACAAGTGTGTCAAATATGCCAGGATGAAGTTCATTCATATTGATAGTGATGCCATGCATGCTGGGTAACTGATATCCATCTTGATTCGTGATTTGATTAAAAATAACCAACTGGCAGCCATTTTGTTTTTTTCGTCTGTCTTTATTTCTCTGATACCCTTTGACCAATTTAATTAAATTAAGTAAAAAAAAAAAAAGTGAAATATATGGTTTGTCTAATTTAATATCATTTGTTAAGATGTTTCTGTAAATTTAACTACCTGATGGCCATTTTTGTTATAAAATTGCAAAAGCTATTTTTTTTTTCCCTTCGCCATCCTAACATGGAATGATTTATTGTCTCTTTTTGTTGTGTTTTTTTTGTTTTCAGCTGTTCAGAGATCACAGTGGGGAAGATACAACAGTACCGGAAGATGACCGAGTCTGGGTTCGGGGATGGTTTCCTGTCATGTTTGAGTTATCATGTATAATCAGTAGATGTAAATTAGATGTCAGAACAAGGTATGATGCTAACATAACTTATTTTTACCAAAATATTAAAACCGTACAATGCTGGATTGATGTATTGTCATTCGAAGGTCACTCTGATTTAAACAGCAGATGAAAGTGAACGGTTGTGTGTCGCAAACAATTGATATTTTACACTAACAAAATAAAATAATTATTGATATTTCCATGTCATAAAAAAATTATACTTGTGATTTTAATGTAATATGCATTGATTACAATTTTTCTGGCATTGAAAAGTTTAGAATAAGTGAAACAGGAATGCATTAGTTGTAAACCATCGTCAGTGGTACACTCAGGTCATGCTGTTTGACAGTTGAAAACTTACTTGTTTCATTGTTATGAAATGCAAGTAAAATTCAACTTAGTTTCATCATAAGTAATTGTTTCCAATCGCATGAAAACGCTTGACATGAAATGGTATTTGCCATATTTTCATTTACAAGTTGACCTGAATCTATTACCTTTGAACCAAGCAGGCATAATGTAATTTTTGTGACATATTTTGTTGAATATTTTATGGAGGTGTAGAACAAAATTGAGTACATGTTCTACTGTCATCTTGAAATTTCCATGCAACTGAAAATGCAATCGTCATGGAAAGTATTTGACTTCCTTTCCATCATTTAAAAAAATGTTGCATTCAAATTAAAACTCGCACTTTTATTTTCAGGGGTCTGACTGTAATGTTTGAAATAATGAAAACTTACGGACACACATTCCAACAACATTGGTGGAAGGACCTCTTCAGAATTGTATTCCGAATATTTGACAATATGAAGTTACCAGAACAGCAGATGGAGGTAAGACTACAACTACATGACTTAAAGTATGTTGTCTTCTAAATTTGATTATTCCATTGCTCCAGCTACCAACTATAGAGGGCAGTTTTTTGAACTGCAGAGGATGGCCATCTATAAGCGTGCTGTCTTTTGAATTTAAGATGGCCGACTTTTGAACTATAGAGGGCTGTCATTTTCAAACTAAAAATGGCAGTTTTGTGAACTCTTGAGGGCAGACTTTTATACTATTGAGAGCAGTCTTTTGAACTATCGAGGGTAGTTTGAACTAAAGATGGCAGTTGTTTAAACCAAAAATGTCAACCTTATAAACTATTTAAGGCAGACTATTGAAGGCATTTTTTTGAAATCTTCATCTGAATTTTGAACTTTTAAGCACACTTTAAGATTGATGTTCACAAAAAAATGAAATTTTCATGGTTTTATCTTGATAATATGTAAATTTGTTATTAATAATTCACTGATTCGTAGAGTCAGAATAAGTGAGTGATAGATCTTTCAGTAGAAGTTAGGATATTAAGAAATTGTATTTGTAATTTCCTTTTTTTTCTTTGCTGCTTCGCTTTCTTCTGTTTCAACATTTTGTTTATTTTTTTTATAATTTTATGACCCTCTTTGCAGGCTTTGACTCGGAGCAACACTGATCCGCATGTCCTTGGTGAAAAAGCTGCCTTATTCATGTACACCAAATCCCAGGTCCTGGAATTTTCCTATAAATCGCTTCTTTCCATCCATAGTTCTCAGCCGCGGCTGTGTAATTTTGTAGTTTCACTCACCCTCTTCCCTCATCATGCATGTAACTATGGGGATAAGGAGATGTGATTATTATGGGATAGTCTTGCTATGATCTGAAGCATGTAGTTGTGTGTTTTTACATGGTGAAAGACTATTTGCTATTGATTGCTATTAATCAAGTTGCAATAGTCACAGTTTTAATACTGCAGTGATTTATACCAAATAAAAGTGAAATCCTGGCAACCAACATAATGATCCCAGGTCCTCAAATGTAGGTGAATTTGATTTACATTTTTTTCAATATCACTTTTCGTTCTCTTAAAATTCAAGTTTTCACCTCTATTATCTAGTCCACCATCTTGGTTCTCCAAGGGTTAAGTATAAATTTTTCATAACAGTGACTGTGATGTCATACCCATAATTCTTTGCTGGAGAACCAAGATGGTGGACTACATAATACTGATAAAAAATTATCTGAAAAATGAAAAATGTAAATTGCATTCTTCTACATTTGTGGAGCTCATTTACCTGGAAGCATTGTTTGCCCAGACTTCCCCCATCAAATTAATATATCGTAACCGCAAAATGTTGACTTATGATTTGATAAATTTATGGCATTCTCAAAAACTATGTTTCACAAAATTTGATACGACTCAAAGAATTTAAACAGCGTCAAAATATGCGTGTTTGGTTGTCATGCAGCGTGCATTTTGTCATCAAGCAGTGTGTGGACACATCATGATGAACACGATGACCAACTCACATTGTTAAACTGGACTAATGCTTTGAAAAACTATATTTCCTGGTTTTCTATGGTTTATAGTGTAATACTTTATCAGGATTGCTCAACTATTGGCAGTTTGTACTGCAGTAAATTTTATGATTTAATGAAAACTTAGTATGAGAGTTCTAATTTACCATAGTTTCAGAAAAAATATAAAAACATGTGAACTAATGTTTGGATGCGAAAATGATGATGAAGAAAAAACTGAATCATATTAACCCTATATAATAGGTTCTTAAGAGGATGCCCCAAGGTATAGCTGATACGTAGTGGAGTTCAATGCAACCACATTCTGTGCGAGTACATACCTAGTGGCATTCTCATAACCTTATTACAACTTTCTGATACAACTAATTAATGCTTGAAGCCCTCAAGTGGGTAAGATATTGACAAATAATGGAATTTATTTGTTATACCATATTTATTCTATTTAGGGCATGTCTTTAATGAAAGCATATACAAACCAATAGTTACATTTATTTTATGCTAAATCATTAAAATTAGACTTAAATTGACCATAGACATTGGCGTATGCACTACTAATAGAGCAAATACTGTATTTCAAAACTCTCCTGCTCCCTTTGCTGTATTGTATAATCATTCCGTATTTGGAAGTCCTTTTTACCTTTCCCGAACCATCAAAGATGGAAGGAAAAGGCATATTAAGGGAAAAATTTCTGTTCGGCGCCATCGTCGTTAATAATTGTTATTGTATGCACAATAACTTTATCCTAATAAGGTATGATACAAATACCCCAAACTTATGGAGCTACACTGACTGATGTTTATTATTATTTGTTTATGGTCAACCACAGAAAGCTGAATGGATGACAACAACGTGTAACCATGCGCTGTATGCCATAGTTGATGTGTTTTCACAGTATTATGACATCTTATCGGATTTACTCATGGCTAATTTACTGACACAGTTACATTGGTGTGTTAAACAAGGTAATTGGTTTATTAATAAATTCATAGATTTGAGATGCAAGTGGCCATTGAAATCTCATTGAGAGTTTCCTCTCTCGTCATCGTGTCTCATACACCAGTATTCTTTCATACCAGTATTTCCACATATTAGTATACCCACTTCCCATTATTTCCACATTCTACTGGGCTCTCTCTGGAATTTTCTAGGTAATAGTAAATTTACTAATCAAGAAAAAAAAGTATTAGTAAACTTTGTCTGGAAACTGCGGAGCATTTTCCCGCGACCGAGCACAACGGAGAAGAGAGAAGGAGAGGGAGGTGTCCCCTCTGTCGTCCGCCGAAAACAAGAACAGCATGCTGAAAATGGTGCTTGCTGGTGCAACCTGAGCTCTAATTTTGTGTGTAATTTAATGACATCAAATTAGGCAGTCTGCTCCACAAAATGTACCATTTATGATGGTACAACAAAACATCACAACAAAATATGCAATGTAGACACCAGAACCTTTATTTGAATAACTCAGTATTAATTAAACATATTCATGATAAGCTCACATTGTTAACAGTGGGGAAAATAGTCATCATTCAAAAGTTCATTAAGTTCACTGCCTAGAACACAAGTCATCCTGTGAATAAATTTGCATGGGAAATTTCTCAGAAAAAAACTCTATGCCAATCAATATTATTATGAAGTGATGAACTA